ATTTGGATTTCTGGACATGTGTAATGTTATATTCATTTGTGATACCTGAAATTGTCCTTATGACTAGTAATAAGTCTATTATTGAGATCTGAAAGTAGAGTTGATCTTTATCAGAATTCATCTTTAGATAGAAAGAATGTTTATCTTAGATAGGAAGAATATTATTTTAGATATCTGGAAGTAAAAGTCCAATACACATGAATGGGAAATGTTACACCATTTGTACTGGTAAGAATTACATTTATCATATCTGAAAATTCTATTTTAGATAGGAAGAATGTTATTTTAGATATCTGAAATGCATTTGACATTTGGATTAGACATTCAGTCAAGCTAATAAATGGCCTGCCATACTCTCCTGGAGAGTGAAGGGGAGATGACTCACTTCCAGTCAAATTGATCTGATGCACTGAGGAAAATATTAAAATTTCTAGGTTAAACACAATCTTGTGACAACAGTTTTCACATTAGAGCATGAAGAAGGTCACGCTGCACACCGACACCCCTCTGTGAAGCTGTGTTTCATGAGTAATTAGGAGTTTGTCAGTGGTTGTTTCTGGAACAGGAGGTGGGAAGAAGGGATTGGTCCCAGTCTACCCAAGTGGGCCATGATGAGCAGCAGGTGGCAGCAGCAGCCGTGAGGGAGCTCCTCCAGGCCTGTGGAGGGACCTAAAGTTGACATGACTATTAGTGAAATTTTAAGGAATAATAATAACATCAACTTGTTCAAGTTTTTAATCAGAAAACGTTCCCCTGAAGTTATTTAAACCAGAAGTTAAAGTTTAAATGGATTATATATATGGAGGAGATCCAAGGTTCTGAGCTTAACCAGAAATATTAGCCCAGGTATTTTATTTATAGATCACAATTCAGTAGCAAAACAAGTCAAAGGTCTGCACAGGAGAAATAGAATAGGAAAAAACACATGAAAAGATACTTTGCTGCGGTAGAGAGGTAATTAGATACTGAATACATATCAGTCATTTAAGAGAATGATAATAAATAAACAGCTATAAAAATGAAAATCAAGCTGATATTAAAATAAAAGAAGGTTGGACTATAAACTAGGGCTGGGTGTTACGACTTTAAGAGTGAATTTCAGATTTGTTTTCCTATGAAACAAACATAAATATACATAGAATAGAAGTTTCTGCTGCGTGGTGATCCAACCACACTTATGAACACTTTTGTTCTTATTTGAAATATTTACATTATTTCAATCAGCTAAGCTCCTTATGTGGAATTTTAAAAAGCAGATGCAGAAATAAACTTAATGCTGATGTTTTTTCAATAAGACCTTGCTGAACGGTGCAGAGAAGCCTCTTTTATAAACCTTAGCTGTGACGCCCAACACATGCTTGGACAGAGTCTATTCAAATATGAAAGGTCTACTGCAGAAAACAAAGGAACCGGTGGATGACTTCGCCAAGGGTCGACCTACACTTGAAAAATAAATAAAATCTAGCATCATAGAAAAGTTCAGCTCATTTTCACTTCAGCAATCATCGCATGATTTGTATAGGAATTCTGTGTTGACACCTCACTTAGCCTGAGGCACCTTTGAATTTTCCCCACTGTGGGACAATAAGATGTATTTCTATTTTTTTTAAATAAATATAATAGCAATACCTAGGGATGCACGATATAATCAGCCCCCTATCGGTATCGGCCTTAAAACTGAATATCGGACATCGGCCACCCCACCGATATTTAACCCGATATTTGATCAGCTTCTGAGTTTCTAAAGTCTAAAAAAAATAAAAAATACTACATCTTCTTATTCCTCAAAAAACTTCTTTTTTACAGACTTAAAAACTTCTAAAGACGAGGGAAAAAATATTGATCCATTAAAATATCCCAATATCTTCATATGCTGATATATTGCCATTTAAAAACACCATATCAATCTCTTTTACTAATGAAATATTGCTATATGTCATCGTTATGCTACGAAATCCCCCGAAAATTCACGAAATGTTGCCATATTTTTAGATGTTGATATATTGACGCGGTATCGATTTATTTTACTAACAAAATCTCACAAGAATTTGCAAAATATCCCGAGAGTTTGTAACAGAAAGTCCTCGGATGACTGACACAAGTGGATCTAGCAATACCCCTTATTGAATATTTCATTCATTCATTCATCCCCAGGGGAAAAACTAATACACGCCTAAAAAGAGGATTTGGGAAAGAATTCTTCACCTGCAATTATAATTTTGTTTTTTTTCCTTTTTACTGATTTGTAAACCTTCACACCCTCACTGAAAGTAAGGAAAGCAGAGAGTAGGCTCTGCGGCTCCTGTGATGACAAGAAGAACAAATCAGGATGTGCCATATTAATCTAAAATCTGTTACCATATCAAATCACAGCCAGCTGTTTTTGTTTGCAGATGGAGATTAAAATGCCAGATTGATGCGAGTTATAAGTTGATTATACAGGCTCAGTGCTGAATAAAACATCCAGCTTTAAACCATGATGTGAGATTAAAGGATACTGATTTTCCAAAACATTATTTCCAAAAGGTGTTTTTGGAAGCAGAATTATATTTACACTTATTGCTTTCATCTGCCTTCAGAAAAGAGTTTGTTTTAAATTAAAATGCTGATCTGTGTCCAAGGAAATGGAAACAGTTAAATCTAACTCAGATACAGGTTCAGTTATATCTGCCATTCACATCTGTGATAAAATCTCGAAGGACCTATTATATCACAGCATTATTGATTGATTGATTGACTATTGATCTCACAGTGGAGAAATTTACTTGTTACATAAACTCAAAAAGTCAAAGGAGAGGAATGTGTCAAAGGAAGAAAAATGTGCATGGGATATATACAGTATATACAGTGCGTTCAGATATGACAGCTTTACAAAAAAAAAAGATTTTATAGTAGGATCATTATACAGGTTAATTGCATAGGATGTTTACATGGGTATTTATATAGATGGATATTTATATATACATAGTTATTGCACAGTGTATCAAATGCCCCATGGTAGGATCTGCCATGGCAAAAAGACACCTTTGTGTCAGCCTCTAGGCCCAACATCGGTGCAGATTACCCGGCCTTTTTGGAGTGTTTGGGAGGGGTACTAGATGGTTCTCTTACTGGGAACTCCGTTGTTTTCCTGGGGGACTCCAACAGCCACGTGGGCAGCGACAGTAAGACCTGGACAGGGGTATTCAGTAGGTATGGCCTCCACGATCTGAACCCGAGCAGTGTTCTGTTATTGGACTTCTGTGCTAATCACAGTTTGTCCATAATGAACACCATGTTTGAGCACAAGGGCGTCCAAAAGGGCACGAGGCACCAGCACACCCTAGGCCGGAGGTTGATGATCGACTTTGTAGTTGTGTCATCTGATCTACGGTCGAGTGTCTCGGACACTCGGGTGAAGAGAGGGGCTGAGCTGTCAACTGGTCACCACCTGGTGGTGAGCTGGATCTGCTGGCAGGGGAGGAAGCCGGTCAGACTTGGCAGGCCTAAGCGTGTTGGGGTCTGTTGGGAACGTCTGGTGGATCCCTCTGTTAGTGCAGTCTTCAACTCCCACCTCCAGATGACTTTCTCCCAGATCCCGAGGGAGGTTGAGGACATGGAATCAAAAGTGGTTCATGTTCTCCTCCTCCATTGTCAATGCTGCCGTTTGTAGCTGTGGCTGTAAGATCTCTGGTACCTGTAGCGTCGGCAATCCCTGAACCCGGTGGTGACGCCCGGAAGTAAGGGATGCTGTCAAGCTGAAGAAGGAGGCCTACCTGGCCTTGTTAGCTAGTGGGACTCTGGAGTCAGCTGAGAGGTATCGGCAGGCCAAGCGTGCTGCGACTTGTGCGGTCGCAGATGCAAAAACTTGGGTTTGGGAGGAGTTTGGAGAGGCCATGGAGGAGGACTATCGGTCGGCCTCGAAGGTGTTCTGACAAACCGTCCACCACCTTAGGAGGGGGAAGCAGTGCCTCGACCAACACTGTTTACAATGCGGGTGGGGAGCTGCTGACCTCGAATAGGGATGCTGTTGTCTGACGGTGGAAGGAATACTTCGAGGATCTCCTCAATCCTATCGGCGTGCCTTCCGAGGAGGTGACTGAGGATGGGGAGTTAGAGGCGGACTAGCCCATCAGCCAGGCTGAAGTCACTGAGGTACTTAGAAAGCTTCTCGGTCGGGCCCAGGGGGTGGATGAGATTCGTCCTTAGTACCTTAAGTCTTTGGACGTTGTAGAACTTTCTTGGCTGAGACGTCTCTGCCATATCATGTGGCGGTCAGAGACAGTACCACTGGATTGGTTGACCGGGATGGTGGTCCCTCTCTTTAAAAAGGGGGATGGGAGGATGTGCTACAATTACAGATCAAACTCCTCATCCTCCCCGGTAAAGTCTACACCAGGGTGCTGGAGAGGAGGATCCAGCAGATAGTCAAATCTCAGATCCAGGAGGAACAATGTGGTTTTCGTACCGGTCGCGGCATACTGGACCAACTCTATACCCTTCATCGGTTGCTTGAGGGTTTGTGGGAGTTTGCCCAACCAGTACACATGTGTTTTGTGGATGGCTCTTTGTGGAGAAGGCTGTTAAGGGCTGTCCCCTCTCTGTTTGACCGCAGCAGAAGCTTGGTTCGCATTGCCAGCAGTAAGTCAGACCTGTTCCAGTGCATATTCCTCTCCGCCAGGGCTACCCTTTGTCACTGGTTCTGTTCATTATATTTATGGACAGAATGTTTAGGCACAGCCAGCGACCGGAGGGTGTCCGGTTATGGAACCTCAGGATATGATCTCTGTTTTTTTTATTATTATTTAATTTTGCACCAGTTTGTATTTATTACAAGCAACCAAAAGCATCAGTAGAACATATTTGGAAACATTTGATGACAAATGAACAGAAAGCCAAACTGGATCATGCAGGAGGTCATCACAACATTAAAGATTGTTTCCTGTTATTTATTTAACAGCAGATGGAAATGATGGATAAATGTCTCTTTGCTGATGCACAAAAATGAGTAAATAAGATTGTCATGATTTTTTCCTAGGTTCATCACAATACGGCACATTTTCCAGTAGGAGACCATCTCGAAGCAAGAGCTTGTTTTCTTCAACTTGCTCCACTTGCAGTACCTCTTCACGAAGAACAGCTTCAACATCTGAGCCCATTTTAATCATCTTGTCAATGTTTTCTTCTGACATTTCATTTTTGTTCATAATTAGGGTGTTACATGCTTAGAAAACATAAATATTGGTCAACAATCAACCCAGAATATAATCTCTGCTGTTCGCAGAT